CACAACTGTTTGGTTTACATCTGCTCCAAACAGGAAAATATGCAGAGATTTGATTCGCTAAAAAAAATCCGGCCATTGTTTGAATCCGCCTGATTTTCCCTCTTTTTTCCTCATTAGAAGTTTTTTTTTTCTTTCTTTCTTTTCGGAGTGCTCTTGCGCTAACCTCAAATAGAAGGTCACAGGTTCGTTTCCCAGCCCAGGGCAGAGGCACATTCTTAACAATAACCTCGGTGAGGTCCTCTACGTTATCACAAATATAGGTGTCGTATTTATTTGACACCACATGCGTCCCACCTTGACGTGGTCATATGTGGACCAGGCCCAGTTTTTAGGTCTGTTAATGTCCGAGTCTGGCTCCATATCCTTAATGTTCACTTAGTGTAAACGGACCGATTGAAGACAACCTTTTTACAGTCACTCTTTAGTTTGTCAGCTGTAAACCATTTAGACTGTTTTAACATAGAAAACCAGAAAAACACTCTTTGGAAAACAACAATAAAATCAAATTAGCATTAGCAGGTCTATTAGCCGATGTTCATTTGCTCTGAGGAATATTTCATAATTGTTCAATAGTTTTTCACTATAAATGTAATATAATAATATTTATTCTACATAAAATGATAATGTTATGTATAATAATGTGTTTATTAATGTTTACATTATTTCTAGTGTTTCATAGATCATCAAAGTAAAAATCGGTTACAATATAATATAAATGTAATATATTATTTTGTGGGCAACGACCGAATTATATATTTGACCGTCATAGGTAAAATGTAGCAATTAATTCACTTTATTTAATTTATTATTTTCAATTATTTTATCTTATCATTTGTCGTTTTGTTTGCAGACACTAGGGTCTTTTTTGTCATGTTATTATGTTATATCACATATAAATCCAAGACTATTTGCCACTAAAAGGGCATTCTTTTCTTTTCTTTTTTTTTCTAGTTTGTTAGAGAGAGGAAATCACCCTCCTTGTTCGGTTATTCGATCATAACAGTGTGAAAAGCGCATTTGTGTGAACAGCAAGTTAAGTGATGTGTGGAGTATTCGAAGTACCCGGAGATTAGAAATACTAATATACTGCGTTTTGTTTGTCCCCGCCAGTTTTTCACTGATCCGTGGGACATTTCAGCATACACACCAGAGCAGTGATAAAAACTGATAATTAAAATAATTATTTTATTTGTATGTTAAATGATCCTAAATATAATATAATATAATATAATATAATATAATATAATATAATATAATATAATATAATATAATATAATATAATATAATATAATATAAGAAAGAGGTGTAGGACAATAGTGAGCTGCAGAATGACAGAGTGGGCTCAGAATTTTTTTTTTAAATATCCTATTATTATATATTATATATTATTATATATATTCCAATGGTGAAATAATATGTAAAAATCTATTCCATAAGACCAACTTGTATAGAGAGCAAGTGGAAGAAGATTATTGTCACAAAGCTCTGTCATTATAACAATGTTAAAACTGCTCAGGATAATTCTGTGTCTAATGTCAATGATGACTGAGTGTTTGTGGTGAGGAAATCATCTGGATCAAAGGCCCATAGAAAAATGACACTCAGAAGGGAAACATCAACAACTTTCACCTTCCTCTTCATTAAAACACGTCAATGATCTCAGTCTTTAACAGCCGCGTTGTGTTTTAAAGCCCATCTTTCTTTGTCACACCACCTGCTCATGGTACATCCACAGTGTTGACATGCAGAAGCTAACACCATAACCTCACTGCTGTTAAAGCACTGAATAATCAAAGATGAAACCAACGTCCCGTTGGGATCATTAGTACCCAAGAAGAACCTGTTGCTCTGATACTTTAGACGGCAGAACCAACTGCCAGGCTCTGAGGACAAGACTACAGGATTGTTTAATTATTTGACAACACCCAGCTATCATTAATAGAAATTCAATCTCTTGCCAGACATGGGTGCCAGGACCGAGGGTTAGTATATTTAGACAGACACCCTGTTGGAATACGCATGAAATAATATTAATTTTAAAAAAACATTTCAAAATGAAACTCCTGTTGGTTGAGATTGATGTTAAACAAAGATATTTTGTTTCAACACGAGTCTAATGTGCTGTATATATGCTGATACTTTGTTGTGCAACTGTTTTCGCATTTCAAATTTCTTAGTGTACGATGGGAGAATTTTTCTTACGTCTTACTTCTGTTTTTTTAAATAATATTACACAATGATGTGAGGAATATAAAAAACCCTCATTGTAATTTTTCAATTAAAGCCATCTTCTTGTTTGTGAAGCTTTAGTGTCAGTGTTTTCAGACCATGTCATTGTGACACTACAGCAGTGTTGCTCTCATCACTGTTAGAATGTCATTGATTATACAGTATATATTGTGTGGAGTGTGAAATAATTACAAACCGTACCTTGTGTGAGGTGTATTTTATTATATTTTATTTTATTGAGTTATCCTAATGAAAACTCATTATAATTTATTTCTTTTAAAAATTATTGCTCTTTTTGGAGATGACAGGGTGAGATATAACCATTTCATGTAGAGAGCAAATGAAGGTGATCAATTGGTTTAACTAAACCTTACATGTGTCCATGTCACACGAATGTTAGATGTGTATAAGAATATAAATATATAAAAAATGTAAAATTACGCTAAATTAATTTGAAAGTTTTACGTGACAGTGGATGAATACACTGTATCTGTGCAGTTCTCAGAATGGGATGACAAGAAAACACATGTCTAAAGTACTGCAAATGTGTTCAATTATTACCCAAAAAAAGGATTTAATTCTGTATCAGCTGTATTATACAACCCCACAGAAAGCTGGTCCAAAGGTAGAGGCCCTGATCCCCACCTATACAACTTACATACTCAATATAACCCCAGTTTAAATTACACACACCAGGGTTCAGTTTGATCAACGTTACTTTAAGGCTATCACAAATGTCTCTTTGAAAGGCTTCACAATTAAGAGAGTGATTACATGTTGATATCTGTAATTATACGCATTCACAAAACCTGCTCTTTCAAGTTGAATCTGCTTTTAATTACATGCCTATCATGTGTGATGAGAAAATACACCATCAGTGGGCCTTCCACTGTGCTGGAGAACCTTTATTGGAGTCAGAGCAGCAGTAATTGAAGCATCCTGCACAGAGAGCTACAGTGTAACACTGCACAGTCTTCACTTGTACCAAACAATGTAAACCAGATGCAACGTTATATGATTGAACTCAATGGTGACCTTTGACCTTTGCTCACCTGTAAGTGAAATTAGGGAAACACTGGACAAAGTTGATATCAGTAATCAGTACTCCAACGACTGCTTGGACTGTGGTAACAATCACTGATGTACAAAGTTGGCTGTACATATGACTGGGAAACGTAGTTCTGTAGTTATTAGAGCTTCATCTTTAATGCTGGGTTTGTTTATAATGGCTTTTCTATCTTTGTCGCCCCCATGTGGAATAAAACTTCATTCAGCTGCGATGGAGTTATCTTAATCGTATTGCCTCAATTTTTTTTTACAAAGGTTTAAAAAGTTGCAGTACCAGTTCTCATTTAGTTGGGCGGGGGTGTCGGGAAGGAGTGCAGTGACTCTGTGAGATTTAATGGAAAGGCTTTTAAGTGGAAATAGTGCGATTCTTACTTTTAACCAACCTTCTTACCCAAATTTAGTTCACATTATAATTTCTGCCTTTTGATTGTGGTAGACTGGCCCAGTTGTGCCCAATAATGTAACATCAATGAAGCAAAATTGCCATATCTGGTTGTTTTGATAAATACTGTATGTGCATGTTATTATTGGGGAAAGGAGCCATTAGAACGGTTGGTGACTTCCAGAATTCCTCCCACTACATCATTTATTTGACAAATTGAAATGAAAATTAAAAAAAAAAAAAAAATCCCATTACATGCAGAGAATATAATAACACAAGTACTGTACACAAACTGAAGTAAATCAACAATTGTTAACTCTGAAAAGGTCTCCAACACATTGCATGTTAAGTGTCAAAGTTATTGATCTACACATAAGGACAATAGTTTAACTGGATAAGTTTAAACAACACACAAACCTGTATCAACCTCAAATCTTGTTATTGTTGATACTTATGTTTCGAGTAGCTAATGTCGACATTACCCATAGTACTTTTACCTATTTGATCACTAGATGGCAGCAAAGATCACATTTTCTGGGCAAACGTCTGCGTTGGTTCTCATCCATTTAATCATTCTTCTGTCATGGGGCGAGCACGGGGTGCACCAGTTTGCTATTTTATTTCCTCGGGCAATTTATAGTGAACAATTAGCCTTAATGTGCGCGCACAAGTACACGCAAACTATTAACAAGTACTAACCACTCTTGCACAATGTGACCCCTTTCCCGTCATAGTTCTTCATACCATATAGATCGGTAGAAATGCAGCTGTTAATGACTTAACAGTCAACCCATAGTCTATCCCCTTGCCCAAATAAACTTACAAATACACATGCTTTTATTCCATTAAAGTCGAATTAAAATGAACTGTAAAACGACGTTTCCTGTCAGCAAAATGACAGGAAATTAAAAGGAGTTACGCAGAAACACACTTCGAGTCCAATGTGTATTGTGTGATTGATTTAGACAAAAAATTACATTTAGAGCAATTTTAGAAAATATAATTTCATCATTGGGAATAATTATGTAAACCCGTTAACGTAACATTTGGGGTTAAGGGTAAAGATCTGCTTGTCGGATGTTTAATTCGAAAAACCGTGGCGGAAGTTGCGTTTTGTGTGTGACTTTACAGAGGCAGCTTAGCGAAATCCGGCTGCGCTGATTCACCTTAGGTAACAAACAGGAAGAAGGCTGTTACTTCGATTCATTTGACGCTCGTCTATATCTGGCGAAGTCGCACTGCACTTGTTTAATGTTGAAAGAACAAATTGCTTTAACCAACTACTTTTCTCGGAGACTTCACGACTCGGACTATCAGAAGGTAAGTTAGTGTTTATCGACTACTGTCCGGCACTTGTTCTCGGCGCAGCATCCAATCTCTGTTCATCAACCCGTCATTATATTCACACACAGGGATTCGGTAAACATAACTACGACGGGTCTTGGGAGAACGCATTCCATCTCTAACAGATTTCACTGCATTTACTAATTAAGATTAGCAGGGAGACTTTTTTTTGTTATTATCTAGAAGAGAGACAGCCACTTTATTTTGTGACAAGATATATATAACGGTAGGCAGACTGTTGGTTAGCAATACGAAACGACTTTCTTTAATTCTTCTATTTTCCTATGATATTATATAAAAAAACTGCTACATCACAACTAATGCTGCTCGGGAAGCTGTCATGTTAGCTACTCTAGATGACCACCTCCAACCAGAACGGAGTGTTTGTCCAGCTGGAGTGACTGATAGCTGTGAGGTAGCTCGTGTCCCCTCACTATTGTTGCTGTACGCTCTGAAACTATTTAAAAATGTATGTCAGTGGACGACTTCGATACCACAAAGTGAACCAGAACGTATCGTACCTATTATTCATAACATATCTGAGTGTAAAGTGTGTGTTTATCTGATGTGGCTCAGACGTTAGTTCACAGTCGGAACCTCTGATCTAATCACTGCAGTCTTCTGTGGCCGACTTTTGCATTGTAGCAGAGGATGGGCTTAAGGGGACAAAACCGTCCTCAAGAATTATGTGTATTTGGCTTTGGCTTCACAAACAACCTAATTTGTCAAAGTATAAACACACACACACACACACTGAAATGTGTTCTTTACACTTAACTCTTGTATGAAACAGGAGCACTGTACTGTAGCCACTTTCTCAACACATCACCTTGTACCGGGCCTGGATTTAGTACTGACAACCTTCTGACCACAGGCTTCTATTATCATATCATATCAATGCTCAGTCAAATACTGTTTTTTACTTTCGTTACATATTTTCATAAATTGCTTCTTTCAGTCCTTACCATCTCCTCTGACAAGACTGTGTTTGTACCACATATTTTGCTAAATTTACTTTGCCAGGGTTTATTATGCATACTAACATGTGTGTATTTGCTTCATTTCTATGTGACTATTAGACATAATAATGTATAACCCAAAAGTTAAGCCCGGCGTCTAATTTTGCACAGCTCTATATGAACATAAACTCTATTATGGAGACACTTGAGGCATCAGATGTGGGTTGTCATTAGGGATGTAACGATACAGTTCACCCACGATACCATATGATTCACAATGTTTTGTTCACAATACTAATTTATCCTGATGACAAACTAAGCTGCAGAAACATTATGACCAAAAACAATGATCCTCTAGTTGGTCAAATACTCTATTAACTGAAATGGTCTTGTGTATCTATAAACTGAATATATTATCTTAAATAACCGTATATAAAAAATGCACCATTTATCTCCCCTTACTAAAAGTGAAACTGTTCTGCTCTTATTTACCTTGCTGTCATTATATTAATCATCAAGAGGATATGAAACAATATTTACTGGAAAAAGTTCCTTTCTTCACAGAAACTGTAAGACACAGTTTGTGTCTGTGGAAGAAGTTCTTCCCATGTTCTGTTAGAACACCTGAATGCCACTTAAGGGAACTGTAGTCTTGGTTTAACAGCAGTCACAACCAACGTTTTTAGGTACATACCACCACCTGCTGTACTAGAGTGTGTAGGTTCATGGTATGACCACTGGCTTTGTGAAATAACAGAGCCTACTCCTTAAGCCTTGATGCGTGATTCATTTTTTTTATTTCAACTGATGTGAATTGTCACGTATTTGATTCAATTTTTAATCGATTCACGATACATCGTTACATCTCAGGTTGTCATTTGTAACAGCACAGAAGGGAAATAACCAGTGAGGCCTTACAACTATCGTTAGTCTACATATTGTATTAGCCACAACTTACACAGACGCTCAACTCTAACAGGTCAGACCCCCCCCAACCCCCTCTGTAGCTCATCTATTTTTCCTATTAGGTTGAATGTTGTTTGTGAGATAATTATTAACTACCAGCAGCAACCAAGCAGTTTTTTAGGTGTTCTATTAAATTTACTGGAAGACCTCCCCCAACCCCTGGTCATTATGAATTTATAGATATAAAGAAGTTTATATATATATATATATATATATATATATACACACATACAAATTTGTTATACAAACCCTTGTGAGTGCAAAGTGAAGAGAACCTTTTGGAATTTCTCTGCTACACTTTAGCAGCCAGCATGCCAGGACCTGCTGAAGAATGCAGGGAAAATGGAAGGAGAAGGAAAAGAAAGAAACAAAACGAACAGGGACAAGTATAGTGCGAGAGAAAAATCTCAAATGTACAACAATAATTCAAGCAAAAATCCTGATATTTACTGATAAAATTGCTCCATAATAAACAGAAAGCCACAGTCATAACAAATTGCAGTGCTGTTGAGCTCTTTTGAGAATGACATAACCACTTTTTCCATAATTAAACAAAATTGTAGGTTGCATGTTGCAGACCTTAATATATTTTTTAAATGTAGTTGTTAATGTGTTGTTTTCATTATTCAGATTATTATCGTGCAAATCAAAGGTATTGCCGGTTTACACAAGTCAACTTCTACTTCCTGTATTCTTATCTTTGAATTCAGTCACACTCAGGCTCTGTTTATGAGTAGACTTGCTAAGATGCTAATATATTTGGATATTTTTCCAAAATCTTGTTTTATATTCATATCATCCAATCTGGAGATATTCCAATCTTGTCAAGCAATGACATTCCATATTTATTTTCTTTTTCTAATTTGGCAAAACAGCATTTGGAAGTCCAGTAGAGCACGGAGTGCCACAGTCCACAATCTACTTAGCAATTTAATGTTGCTGAAATAAATTATAATGGAGGGATTTTTAATGTTGGGGTCAACAGTTAATGTGAATGTGAAATCACTGATATTCTCAGTGGATGCTGGTGTTTAAGTAGGTTGTTTACAAGGCAACACCAACTTCACTTTCTTTTAAGTAGTTACACTTTACTTTACTGGTTTCCACTGGTACCCAGTAAGATTTCTGAGACACGTGGTATAATTTGAAAAGCTGTGAGATACAGTATATGACTAAGACATGTTAAGACTTATCTCTTAGGAATCTCACACAACACTGACACGTTTGAACGTGATAGTTTTGGTTAAAGTCTTAAACTGTGTTACTTTCCTTTGATCAGGTTTTTTTGGCCTAATCAGACTGAACATCCGACTTTAAACCAAACTTGAATGGAAAGCTGTTAAAATTTTTGAAGCTTTGCAACAAGTTTTGATCTGGCTATATCTGGGGTTTTTTTGTTTGTTTGTTTGTTTGTTTTTTCTCCCTAAAGTGATAGAACATGTGAAAAGATCTTAAGACAAGGCAGAGAAGCAGGTTTTAAACTAAAACTTTACAATTAAGGAATTCTCTGAAACAAATCTTGCAGTAGTGTTTAGAAATACACTGAAGATATATAGAGAAAAAAAGGTATTTTCATAAATACAATTGAGAAAAAAAGTTTCTGCTTGTTCCTTTAATGTCCATCCAAAGTGTCTTCCAATGCTACCTGTGTCCAGTTGTGGCTGTAGTTTAAACATTGATTGTTTACCCATGTTCATGACAAAGTCAACTCAGCCAGCTTCGTTAATAATGTTTGTCTGGGATTGTGCCAGATTCCGTGTTTGTGCGCATGACTGTGGTTTTATACCAGTACCTGGTGGACCTTTGCTCTGTTGTACTAAGCAAAGTAACTGATTGACAGTGCAAAGCGGTAACATTAAAGGACACGTTTGGTGAATGGGAAGGTTATATGAGAACCAGTTCATAACAATATTATAGTGGTTTTTAATCATACCTTTATATGAAGATAAATATATTGCAGTAAACAATCAAACCAAAATTTCATTTCTGTTATATACCTTTGGTGCAGTAAGGCTGAGATACGAAAGTTAACTCTTTTCAAGTCAACCTTTTATTTAGTTCTTTAGATAATTGCTGTATTACCATTGATCAATCAACAATGTTAATCTCAACATCCCAGACCCACTATGCCTCACCCCTCCTGCCCCCAGAAGAATGCAACACAGACACAACAAATATCAAGTATCATTAAAGTGCTTGGCGTAGGTTGAATTACTGAACAGCATAAAGGCATATGGGCTGTTGTCATTTTACACACGTGGTACAACTCGGCTGCTATTTTGAACCTCGCTGACTGCATTTGACTTCTGTTGTTTTTGTCAGACCTGGTCATATGCCCATTGTTTTAGTGGCGGGGTCATGAATGTCAGATGGTCCCACTGCAGCCTGTTCCTTAGCTCTGTTTTCTCCTACATCAATAACGAAGAATAACAAACAGAGTTGAGTAATTTATGTGGTGGGACCAACCACATGATGGAACCTTGGCTTGTCCAGCCATGCAGGATCACAGCCTGAGAGCCTGCGTGGAGATTTCATTCTGGAGCAGCTCTCCTCTCTTTCTGCACTCTCTTGTTAGACTGCACTCACTCAGGAAGACAACATAAAAAAGGAATGGGCTGTATCCAGGTATTATGTGTTCCCCAGAATCATACCATGACAACGAATGTTGGGAGTGTTATCTGTGAGTGCACAGTTAAGAGCATGGATGAAACATTGGAAATGATGGGCATTACTGACAGCAACATTACTAAAATGAAGCAGATAGATAGCTGATGAGGTTACCTATTAACCCTTCTGAGTTCTAAAACATGTTGATGTTTATTGGTAAACCCGGCAAAGCCCATTGGGTTGAGGCAATTCCAAATTAGGGTACCACTACTACATGAAGCCCTGCACACACACACACACACGAACACAGGATCGCACACACACACAACTGAACTGAACCAGCGCAAACAGTGCAGTTTTAAAGTTTTTAAAGACCACACTTTTATCTTTTATACCAGGCCAGTACCAACTGCTGCATGTACTACACTGGGCTAAATATCTGCTGGTACATGTTACTGGTTGTGACTTAATAATAAGAAAAAATCAAAGTACCACAAATTACACACGAGTCTTGAAGAAGCTGGAGCACTTTCATTGACGATGCTCTCGAAAAATAAATATTTATACAGTCTGTTGTAAGCTGTTATATAGTTATATAGCCCTTAGCTGTAGAAAGTCGACTTGTACCTTTGTTCAATTTTGTAGTATTATTGTGTTTTCTTGTTCCGTTTTGTACCTTTTGTTTTACTACTTTTGTCATTTTATCATATTTTGCCCCATTAGTACAGAATGTATAGTTGAATGCATTTTGGTCTTTGATTTGTTCTGATAGTACATAGTCGAATTAGTACTGTAGCACATTTGAACATATAACCCATTAACATGTTTTCATGTTAATGTTAGTCAAAATTTTCAGAAAATTCCAAGACATCTATAGTTTTGCTTTCACTTAAGTAAAAGTATTTCTTTCAAGTCTGCAAAGAGCCAACCTCAGGGCGCTTTACCAGGCTGAGCTAGAAAAATGGATAGTGTTAGTGCAGGAGGACATTTTCCTGAGCTCCAGGGTGAATGTCAGCGTGGCTAATAATCAGACTGAACGTTTTTAAAACTGTGCATTCCTCGCATTCCTCTACAGGAGAATGGGTGTGCTTAGAGGATGACTCTGCTGCAAAGATAGCACTAAGAAAACTAAACAAATTAGACCTTTTACTCACAATTTGTCAAGAACTGAGTCATTCATATGTCAGAGGAAATAAATATGTTAATAAATAAACAGCTTTTTTGGCCCTGGCTTTTAAAAAAGGGTTCAGTTGAGGATTAAGAAGAAGTTCTAGCCAGTCAGATAACCTCTTTATTTGCCACCTACAAAACGTTTTGATGACTGACTGTTTTATTTGCTATCTATTGCTTTTTTTCCATAGCCACTGGTTAAGTCACGCATCAAATGCTCACTTTTCAAACAAAAGTAGACTACATACAAATACAAATATGTTGAAGTGAAAGTAAGCCAAAAATACACATGTAAACTTGGATCATGTTAATGTTTAACCAAAGCTAAAGTCTAGCCAGTTTTATTTGTGTAAAACAAATTCACACTCTTGACATGAAAGTAAATAAAATTATCTCCAAAGATCTCTGTAATAGAGAACAAAATGGAGGAATGTTTGCATGTTTAGTCAATTTTTTATTGGAATAATATTAACAAGTTAAAGTATAGCATAATGTCTTAACTGTAACATGACATTTTTTATTTCAATTTCTCGCCCATAAACCTATCAAAGCAGCTGTCTCTGTGTCCTGATGTTGACAGATGCAGTGTCTCAGAAGTTGTCCACACCCGCCTTCTAAGGAGCAGCCGCACAGGAAATAAGCCATCTGCAAAGGGCAGGTAAAATGGAATTATTTTCTCCTCCTTTTCCACTGCTGTTACTCTGAGGAGGTGAAGAACTGGCTGAAATTTGACACTGTGCAAACGTATCAAAGTTGTCTGAAGACTATTTTAATGCTTAGAGATTGGTGTTACAGTAATTATTATGCATTCTTTTACTTTTAGAAACCTAAACATAAAGATACTTACTGTGTGATGAATATAAAATAACTCTAACTGTACTGTATGTTTGAATATTTCACCTTGAGTTTCTAATCCTAGAAACAACAGGTCTCACAGATTTAAATTCAGGCAAGTCTATAATGTATTTCCTGCTTGATATAATTCATTTTATTTGTATTCTATATATTATCCAGGTGCAAAACATCACATTATATTAGATTATCTGTATATATATAATATATATAATAAAGCCATGCACTCACATCCTCACACAGTTACTGTTGCAAGCCATAGATACAACATTAAAACTTTCCAAACCCAGCTCTTCATATAGTTGAGCAGCCATCCTTTGGAATTAATTGAATTACTATGTTAACATGGGGACTACTGGAGACTGTGTCATTTTGGCCGTTCCTACACTCTTTGTATAATATTTAAATAACTTGTATAAATTCTACAAATAAACAGAAATAAAAATACACAAATATAATGTCAGTTAAGGTGATAATCAACATTATAACTAGGAATGCCATTTGTAAAAGGTGAGAAAACGTATAAATTGCATTTGAGTCACACCAATATTTAACAGAACAAGCTACAATTTTCAATTCAAATTGGTTTTGGTAGATGAATTAATAAATAGACACTTAAAAAAAAAGTTGAACGGTAGCCAGAACACAAATGTGACAGGTCCTAATTTCTGTTTGCTCGTCCTTTCAGAAAATGTGCATTTATTAGCAGTTGGCACAGATGAGTCTGGTCTAGTGAATGGTAGCGACAGGTACTTCACAAGACCCTCAGCCCACGTCACACCCTAATCTAATCATGATCTAAATACACTTAGAAGAACTGTCACTCGGACTGTGCATCCAAGCTCTTGCTTCTGTATTTTATATTTATATTTCTTTACTTACCTCATTTTATTTATTTACCTATTTATTTTAATCAGGTTGGAGAGATGCCAGTCCTAAATTTGTTCTACTTGTGTAACTATGATAAATCTTACTCTATCCTATATTTATGCCATTGTCCTTTTGCCTTTTTTGTCAAATACCTTACATAAAAATGTGCAAACTAAATACAGCTATAGCTAAGGACCTGCAATTATAGGATACATTTTGAGGGTTATGTGTGTCTGTGATATGTTTTGAGGTGCATGGGTTGGGTTTGCCCTTCGGCGGTTGATGGAGGTAAGGGCAACACAAGGGCAGTGTTTGTCCAGGGCAGTGAACTGACATACACAGAGACTGATTGTGAAAGACATCGGTCCCAGTTATAACCACCCACAAAAGTCACATTTTCCCTCAACTCACTTATTCACCATTTGTTTTCTTTTTAATCTCTCGTTTTAACCATCCTTTAAAGCTCATTCTCAATTAAAAGATTTTCTGCTGCGTTCCTTCTGATGCTGTGATCTGTCAATCACCAAATGAATGCAAACACGTGCCTAATTGCAGACTTTAGGATTAAATACTGATAATACTTTAATATGTAAGGTTATTGAGAGCTAAATAATAATGAACATGTTTTTATTAAAATAATAATTGCAACAAAACTTGTCTATCTTAAGGCAGGTAGACCATTGGGCACTATATAGTGTTGTTTTAATAGCTGAATTGACTAATCAATTATACATTTTAATTATATAAATATTAATTATACATTTTTTAATAAACCAATCAGAATTTTGGTCGAGTCAGAACGTATCAACCAATAAATCAACCAGTCGACTGGGAGATTGTTGCCCTGATAGTATTGTATACTGTATATGTACAGTAATGTGCAAAAGTGTGTACAACATTTTAGCAACCGTCTTCTTTTTTATAGATCAAGAAGCTCTTTCTCAGTACAGTAACATTAAACATTCTTCAGCAAACTGTAACTCTATTGGTTGCAAAAAATAATTGAAAAAAGCCCGTTATATTAAATATCATCATTGCAATTGTGAAGAGATACTTGAGACTCTAAATACTCCAGTGATAAGAACATTCTACTTGACATTGGTTACAAATAACTTTGGTTCTATTAAGTCCACCATGTATTTTTGTATTTTGTATGTTTACTGTGGCTTGTTTGTTGATTGACTGACTCAAATCGAAGTAGATCGATCAACGGTCCACCCCTCGTTGGACACATCTGTTTAACTGTCAGTAAACTCAATACATTTTATGATCTGTTTGACTGGAGTCACTCGGGTCACCTGATTCAGTGCTGGTGGCCGCACCAAAAAAGGAACTTCAAGAAAGTAAAAAGCCTTTTATCAAGGATATAAGTCTTGTTTTCGTCTTGTTATATCTCAGGGAAACCTTATTTTATAATAAGATATTCTGGTTTACATTGAACTAGAATTCCAACAGTTAGTATGCTGCAGGCTTGAGCACACTTAGCTAAAGCCGGCCAGAGGAATGAAGGGGGTTGTGACCCAGAAAGGTGGATCGTAGGCATGACATTTGGGGTCTCTAAAACTCTTACACCTACAGTATATAATAACACTGCCTTTTACACAGGAAGACTCACAAAAACAAATGTGGACAAAAACTCCTGGTGGAAAAGCTGACTCACATTGACTAAGTGTTGAGTTTTCTCATTGAAATTAATGTTAGAGGTTGTGATGGGAAGGCTGAGAGTTCTTAGATCCTCTTTTTCAATGTTATCTTTAGCATTGCAGGAACAATTATGTCACATGACTTTTAATCACACACAGTCACTAACTCACACAAGTAAAAGACACACACACACACAGCTCTGTAAAGAGTCTCACAAAGCTTCTACTGTCAGAGAGAATGAGCTGTTTTAAGATAGAGTTGAGTTACACCAGGGGTTTGACTGACCATTACTGCCTCTGAACATGTTGGCCTCCATAACAAATCATTCTCAACAGTTAACAATTTATTTTGTCCAATAATACAGTCACCAGTTTGACATGGATTTTAACTACAGAATTACACCTAAATAGCAAGTCCTCATATATTTGGGATTTTTGTACAGTTGCCAAGGCATTTTTCTAACTACTAAGAGCAACGAGAACCATAGGAGAAGAAGTCTTCACTGAGAGTGAAAGACAATATGTCTTTCATATTAAATTATGAAAACTTTTATTATTATTATTATTATTATTGTTATTATTATTATAACTTGTCATTGTTAAAATCCCTGTAAAAACACTGTATAAACACTCTCATTCTAATTATAAGAAAAAAGAAAAGAGTATGTCTGTGTGGGAGGAAAAAAAACAAGTCTGTCCACACTGAAAGCTCAATGGTTTATTTTATGAATTATTAATTATTATTATTATTACCGTTATTATTTTTTGTTTTATGTTACAACAATCAAAACATTTACAAATGTTTTTTCAATAAAAACCCAGTTGTGTGGGTTTTCAGGTCTTGATATGCAGTGTGTACATAACAAGTGAAATAAAATAATAATAACAATAATGGTGAAATTTACTTTGTATCAAAAGTTCACATCACAGTATATATCCATCAGTGACCTTCCTCTCTAGTTTCCACCATTTAATCCTTGCTTCTTTACTTTTTTCTCTTCCTTTTTCTCCTTTCCCCTATACACAACAAACCTATGCTGAATAACTACCCTTACCCTCGCAACATTTTCACAAAGTTGATAAGTCGGTGATAAGTCGTCTAATAAGTGGTGGAAGTTGGGTTGGCTGGCTATTGTTCCCTATTTTTAGGGCTGCAGCAAGCAATCTATTGTTTTTTTCCATAGCCACTGGTTAAGTCACGACTCAAATGCCCATGTTTTCTGGGATTAGTGAGTAAATGTTAGCCTGGCGACGTAGTTAGCTGTGTTCAGGCAATAGTAGACTTCTGTCTGCTGGAAGGACTGTGATATCTTTAGCTTTTGAACGTTTTTTTAATAAAGAAATCAGATGGAGGAGCCTTTGTGTTTGAGGTGCTGCTTTTGGGCTTCCATTTCAGAAAAGTAGTTGTTTTTTTTATGGCAGATCCAGTGGCTGTAATGAGCGCCATTATTAGAAGTTGCTGTAGAGAAACAACAAAGTTAAGTCACATGACAGCAGAGCTGTCAGCGGCAGCTTCGGTCAGACTAATGGCTGCCATTGTGTTACAGGAGTACAATGATGACATTAAAAGCCTGGACATTACCACTTTCTAATAGAACTAAAGAAGCCTCTGTGGTGGGAGGTGAAAGTTCTTTTACTGAACTTCCGGTCCAGTTGCCACTGACTAACGTGAGTTGTAAAAAGATGCTACTGTTTTTATTATATTTTGATCTTAAGGTATAATACTCACATTTCAGATACGCAGTATTTGTCCTGTACAAACAATGACTGATTACTGATTATAAGCGCTGCAGGAAATATTGCCTTGAGTACCACCACAGTTTCCGACTTCAGTGTCTCTGCTTGTGTAAGGCTTGCAGTCATATTGTGAAATACTTGAGATTGTCATCCTTTTTTAATAAAACAAAAATGTGCAGTGTTATTGTGTGTAGTGATCAGAATGCACTTGCAGTGTACATCAGACCTCCCCAACATTTATCCTGCCAAAGCTGGTAAAGCACATGTTTCCAGGTTTTGGGGTTTGTTCCTGTTTCTCTCAGATTGACACTGGTGTGACTGATGAATGGGTTCATGTTCTTTAGTAGGCGTCTCTATTGGCTAGTTTAGTTGTACTGTACAGTATCTCTCCTCTGAAACACTGTTATATATGTTTTGCATTTAAGGCTGTTCTCTTGTGGAGTCTCACGGTTGTTGTGAACAGTTGGTTGTTCAACAGTAACTTAATACAATTAATGAAGTGGTGTCCTGTGTTGATGATTATACTCTGATCTTTTTGACTCCTACACCTGACAAATAACTCAAGGTATGGGAAAACAAAAGCTAAAACTGATCAAAACTAAATTAAAACTAAGCATTGACAAAAAAGTAACCCAACTAAACCTAGCAAACTTACTCTAAAAACAACAGTCAAAACGAAAGAAAAAAAACAACAACTATAAAAGATCCAGAACTGTTTTAACCCTGATCCTTTCCAACATTTGAAAGTTTGAACACACAGCACAAACCTATTGCTTTTCCATTTGCGTGCCGGAGAATGTTAAGTGGTTGAGATTATGGCTCCAAATGCACTACATATCTCCATGTGGCAGTACAGCAGCCGGTCTACTGTATGCTCAAGCACTTAACTTGGGAACGACCATTAGAGGCAGCAGGTCCATTATTTTTAATGGCTGAATCAGGAGATGAACATTTTGTCTAGCGGAAGAGTTGGTGCTTCAGTCCACTTGAGGACTACGGTTGAGACACGTGCCCTGAGAGGAACTGCTCTGTGGTTTCTGCATGATGCCAGGTTGATGACTATTCTGCTTCAATCTGAGATCTAATGACATATCATTAGCCTATTAGGCCTATTCAAATGGAAAACAATTATTCAGACTGTATTAATGACGGCTATAATAAATATCTAAAGTTAATAATTTGTTATGTAGCAAAAGGAACTCATCTATAATGAGTCAGTAATGGATGTTACTGATTCTTGTCTTTTGGTTGCAACAACAGAGACACTGTTGTCTTGTCATATCATCTGCAACCTGTTTATTATTTTATTACTTCTTTATTCATCTCCAAAGGGAAATTAACCTGTGGATTTTACCCATCTGTCAACACAATAATACTGGACACACAGGGTCAGCCGGCTGTACTTTTTAATGCTCCAAGGAGTTTTTGGTGCTATGGCTGCCCTTTGACCTTTCATTTCATGAAACCTAATTCAAGCCGTCAAGCTAACCCTAAGCCTAACCGTAACTGGGCATGCTACCTAAGAAAGATTTATTTTGTTATGGTATCATGCCCAGAATGCCGTAAAAGAGTCCTTAAGGTGTCTTGGCATACCACCTTAAGGTGGTCTGTTCTTCAAGAAGGAATGGACAATTTTTCTTATGATAACTCTATTATTACTGGATAAGCTATTTGGTTTATTTTGTGAGCTAATATATATACGCTGCTGCTAAAAATGCACCAAGTTTTTATACATACATACATATATATATATACACACATACAGTATATATTGGCAAGTGCTACATTTTTCAGCTGTCTTTCTTGTTTCTTCAGGTCCTTATGATTAAGGTTGTGTGTGGTGTCCCATGCCATGCCTCCTGCCATGACAGACCTCCTGGACATATGGGTGGCCCACTCACCAATGCTGGGACACACCCCAGACCAGATTACAGTAGACTTTCTGCTGCCTACAGGTATTTACATTCAGATGGATGTTCCACGAGAGGCCACGATTCAGCACATCAAACTGGTAGGTGCAGTTAAATACATGTTAAGATTTTTCCTTATTATTATTATTATTATTATTATTGTTGTGTTTTCCCATTTCTAACATGTTTTAAAATACATTATATTTATACCTTTATTTTGATGTAACTCTACCATAAAATGTTTTAGGTGTTGCTAAAATGTCTTTGCAGTGACTAAAATGTCTCCATCCTTATATGATCAAACACAAAATGTATGTTTCTAACATTTAACTCAAACATCATGTAGCCATATTAATTTTAATAATATATTCCATTCAAGGTCTATTTATATGAATACATTCACTATTCACATTTTGTCTTAATCCTACACCTTGCACACATTTACCTTGGTAATGTAAATGTATTTGTATAAAATAATTGTATTTAATAGCAAGTTAAAGAATTAGCTGGGGATTCATAGTTGTAAAACAAATTGTAAAACCAGTCTCTCCATTTTTGTTAGCTCCTATGGAAGCAGGCACAGACACTGCCACTCTTCACCGCACTGGGGGAGATGGAGAGTCACATGTTTGAGTGTGTCAACCAGGCTGCTGTACATGAAGAGCTGGAGGATGAAACCCGCCGACTCTGTGATGTTCGCCCTTTCCTGCCAGTCCTCAAGCTAATAACGCGCAACTGTGGCCGAGCAGAGCGTTTGCTGGACTCCAAAATTGGTGTTCTCATTGGAAAGGGTGAGACTTGTCTATCTTAAATATTTCCTCACTTTGTAAGGTCAATTATTGTGCAGGCTCAGTACTTGGTCATGGGTCATTTGGTGCAGGGTGAAAGACAAAGATAACTGCATCATATTTGCATTTAATTAATTAATTATCAGTTAAAAGTTGTTTTCTTTTGAAAAACTAATATGCTTGGTGTTTGATTCCTCCATGTGTGTTGTGTGCCTGAGATTAAAGTAAAAGTGACATCTGTCATTGTGACACAACGCACCACTGCACACCACAGTGCCATGCTCAGAGCACCGTAGTGATAACTTGGCTGCTGGTGTACTCAAACCTTAAACCTTGCGAACCCAAGTCTGCTTCCTTAACCACCAAGCCACCACTGCCCCCACAAATTGTGGTCTATTGGCATCAATAGACAATGTTTCTGCTCACTGCAGTGATAATTGGCTGAAGGGTCAAATTCAGAACTGTGAGTGAAATGATCTATTTCCCAACAAGGCTGCAACAAATCATGATCACTTATTTAGGGAATTATTCTGTGATTATTTGTGTCACAGAATAAATGTTGTTTATGATTATTTGGTCCAAACTAAAATGTTAGGGTTCAGCCCGCAGTATCCCTTTTAGAAGCATTGGGGGCGCCTCCTACGTTAGAACTAATGATTTTATCAGTCTTTTATTCTGCATGAACAAGACCCCTTTTTTGACTGAGTTGTAAACGCAGCTGCGTCCTCTATACAAATGACCACACACAGTGCACCGTTCAAATTCAAATGAATTCAGCTTTCTGATGTCAGAATACTTCCTTATTCATTGTCCAGTCAAAAAGCTTGACCTTTTTGTTATGGCTAATCATTTGTGCTGAAGAATACACAAAACCTATTTGTACACAGTGCTTCTATTATGCATTCACCGTTTCAGTCTTTTCTTCTTTCATTCACCGTCGTCAATTATTATGCAGAAAAGGTTCCCTGTTACTGAAGTCACTTGTCTTAATTAAAATATGAAGAATTATTACACAACAGTTATACAGAATAAGCATTTGCTCAACAACCCTCCCTAGGCCTTCATGAACTGGATGCCATCAATGACCAGGAGGTGAAGGACTTTCGTAATAAAATAGTTCGTCTCAGTGAAGAAAGGATGCAAAGAGTCTGTTTGATGACATGTACTGAGTGGCTGCAGGCCTGCTTCTCACCACAGTTGGACCCTGGTTCTACAACGGCCGTAACTGATGAAGTCAGTGAGCAGTCTGACCTGAAAGTCATCATCCACTTTGAACAGTCTCAGGTGAGACTCTACAAACCATTTTGTCTCATTTTGAGCCTCCAAAGTTTCCTACTTTGGGAGTGTTTTGTATTCTCTAATTTTCTTATTTAAACATATGTAAACTGTGTTTACTTTTAGTAAATTAAATTACTTAAATTTGTAATGAAGGTATCAGGTTGGCAGGGTTACCAAAATGCCTGCAGAACACCTTTTGGGTTGATGTTTTTATCTTTGTGCTTTTCAGAAATCCCCTTATTAATGATATTTCATTGACTTTTTATTTTATCTTTTTATATCTTTAAGTCAGTACCATAAAACTATAGGTTTCAGGATACATATTTTGGCTAATTTTTTTGAAAATGTGCAGCCCAGGGGCAGGGATTATGGTTGATTTCTTGAACTTTGTGGCAGTTACAGCCTGGTTCAGAGGGAGGTTGAAGATATAGCTGGTCTGTTCAGTCTGTGTGCACACTCTCTGGGACATTAACCGAGCAAACACTTTTGATGGGTGGACGCTGAAAACGTCATCCTCATTTCCGCTGGGCTCAAACAAAACTCCTGTTCCCCTGGGGTAGGTGTGGACGTCTGTGATTATAGGCTTCAAGCTGGTCAGCAGGGTGAGCTGTGAGTAACTGCTCATTCTACTGCTCATTGTACAGTTGTTTCATGAGTTATAAAACCATGAAATAAAGTATGTGAACAGCAGACCCTGGATAGATAGATTTGGATGGTGTTGGTTTGAGTTGTTAACTTTTTAATTTCAGGAATATTTTAGGAATACTACTATACAGAGTAATGCCCTTTAGACCCTGCTCGCCTTTAAAAACATCAGATTCATGTGAAGGCGTCAGCTGGCTGCTGTGGCACTGCACTTCCTGGCTGTTGGCAGAAAGTCTAATGTGAAAGGTCACACGCAATAGGCTTTTTACTGACGGGAAGTATGGTGTTGTGCTTAAAAACTGAAAAGTGAATGCCGTCAGGGTTCAGTGTAAACTAGTGATTATGAACTGCAAAAACAAAGCAATTTTACTTGTACGACCGCCAAGGTGTCTGTCAAGAACTAAATGAGGTTGGTGACTCCTGGTGTAAACCTTCATGTTGACACATATTTAGATTGATTTAGTACTTTAAGGCTTGAATGCCTCACTTCAGAATAGTAATATAGTATAGTAATATACATCAGTAGTATTACAGTTTAAATCATCATTGGTCCTAACTATCAGTCACTAGACCTTCAGGTCTCGGAATTCTTTCAATTCTCTTAAGTGAGTTCTCATTTAACTTTGTAGCCTTTGGTCTATTTATTTTTCTGTTGGGTTTTATTCCTCAGCTGCCATTCACTATTTTAACACGGACGGAAACATTTCAAAATAAAAGACATTCGTGTATAGTTAGTTTTCAGCAGTGACAAGGGCAAACGTCCCAGCCCTTTATGTAGAAATAAGATGACACATTGATTTATTTTAAGAAGGATCAGTGCTTCACGTTTTGTTTTTGGGTTTTTTGTTTTTGTTTTTTTTGTTCCCCAAATTATTCTGGAATTTTGATTATTTAGGACATAGAGCAGATTTAATACTGGATTAATGATTCTCCCACTGAAGATAAATGAACAATGTCAAGATGTGTCAGTTTTTAAATGTCAATGTTTGGCCTTTGACCCTTTTCATGTTGATCAATATTAATTGACACAGGCTAATGTTGGAAGAACGGAACAAAATAAAACTAAACACTCAGTCTTCCCTGTAGGACTCAACCATTCTGAAGGTGCCATCATCATGCACTACCACAGAGCTAATGGACTTGGCCATCAAAAAGTGGCTGACCACCCACAGCCCAGAGGAGGAGGCTTCCAGGAGTGAATATGTGCTGAGACTTAGTCAGTGTCTGGAGTTCCTCTGTGGAAACCACCCACTGAGTCAATACAAGGTCAGTGGCAGTCAATCAAGCTTGTGTTGTTTGAGTGATACCTGGTACCTGGTTACCACTACAGTGGTTGCAGACCACTGGCCTTAAGGTCTTGAAGGTATATGTAGACATGATTAGTGGTTCCATAGTGTGTCAGTAGTGGTTATCGTGGCTGTTTTCACACTGCCTTACATGCAGAAGGTCCTGGGTTCGAGCCCCAGAAGAACCACATACAGTACCTGGTGCAGTCTTCGAGCCCCAGAGGAACCACATACAGTACCTGGTGGAGTTTGTTGCAGCTGTTAATACAATGATATCTCCAGTGTGGGATCAATGATGATCAAATTATTATTATTTTAAAGTACCTACTGGTGGGTCTGGAATCTGAAAGAGGCTCCAATCCAGTTTTTTAATTGTAATTTGTAAGGTTAGACGTACCGTAGTAGACTTTGGCTTCAAACAATGGAAAGTGGAAAAATCATTCTGTCTTTTCTTTTTTGCAGTATATTCGCACATGCATGCAGGCCAAGGAGTCTCCCAGCCTCACCATGGTCCACATGAGCACCATCAAAGCTATGTTTGATAAGGAAATTAAAACCATTGGAGCAGTTGTTAACCACAAGTCTTTAAACCCACTACCTTTACCATTACCACCTAAAAGAAGAGCTCCCACGGTGAGTCTGTGATAGCCCTTGTGAAAAACTGCCATCTGTAGATTCTTCCTCTATTTTTTAATTTAAATTAATATATATGACATTTACAGTGTAACTTTAAAGACCCTAGTCAGAACTTAGTCTTTCAATAACAAAATAAAAAAAATTTAATCTAAAGCTGAAACAAACACCACATGTTCTTACAGTCAAAGATTCCATGGTCACATGAACATTCAGATGTGTCACACATCAACACTGAAATCAAGATAAAGAGAGCTAAAATAAAAACAAGAAGTGTGTTACTTAGTCATGTTTGTAATTCCGACGTGTCATGTGATGCTGTTTGTTCTGCTGACATTTGCAAATGCTCTGGGCTTGACATCAGCATGACCTGTCGGGCCGACAATCACCCTGCACATGTGTGTGTACGCACACGAAAGAGAACAAAAGATGGAAACTATTTAGTATTTTCAAGAATAGCTAGTAATTATTTTTCAGATGTTTACCATGTTGCTAATGCTGCTCACCTCACTCTGAAGTGTAGATTTCTTATCCTGCCTTTTTCCTCTGTACAGCAGGTGCAGATGTGTGTGTGGGATTTGACCAGTACCTTTAGGATAGTCCTTGTGAGTGCCAATAAGGTGAATGCAGACGAAACTGCAAAGGTAATATCCTTGTTTTTTTTTAATAAAAACAAAACTGACAGTTTAACAACTAGGCCTGTGATAATAACAAATTACTGCCGATAAACATTAATATTGTCAACATTTTATTGAGACCAAATTAACCACTAATGTAATGATAATAAATATATTAATAATGCAAGTTCACCCATTCAATTGTAATACATTTGATATAAAAATATACATATAATATACAAAGAGTGGATGACTGCCAAGAGGGTTCACTCCAGGGTTCACTTTATCATACGGTCAATGGATTCATTGATTAACATCCTAGGCCTACTATTAATTATTGATGACTAGTGTTAGGTGATGTTTTTCTGTGCATGTCCATGCCACGACCTAAGAACGACCTTTCCGCTTTAAAGAAGCATTGGTAGAAGAGCTTGTAAATGAAAATTAAACATTTATAAAAAGTTAATACTGTATTGCTAAACGCTTAGGTCCAAGTCAGGGCCGGGCTCTTCCACGGCACAGAACTGTTGTGCAAGCCGGTGGTGAGCAGTGAGAGCAGCCAGCGCTCGGATCACACTTGGAGGGAAAGCACACTGGAATTTGAGATCTCTGTTTGTGATCTACCACGTATGACCCGCCTCTGCTTTGCCATATATGCCGTCATGGATAAGGTGAAGAAGCAGAAGTCGACCAAAAACCCACACCTGTATAAGTACCAGACCATTCGCAAAGCAGGGAAAGTGGTAAGAGACTTGTAAACAGCTTTTTTAAAAAGAGGGTGGGATATGCAGTGCTGAAAGCCAATATATTTGTGATGTTTGATGTGAGGTGTGGTGGATTATTTTATTACATCAAATCCTTAATTCTTTATCAAACATTGCTCCCATAATAGATCATAAAAAAAATGTTAGAACCAGTTTCTGTTAGAACCACCTATTACATTTAACTCGCAACTTTCTTTTATTTAGCAAAAAGTTTTCCTTTACTTTGAGGTTATTGACGTGTTAAGACGTGTTTATTTTTATTCAAAATAAAACAGATTTTGCTCTGATGATCAATTACAATTAAAAAAAATATGTTTTTTGTAACTAAGTTATTCCTGTCATATTTTAATCTCTGTGGAATCTAGCACTTCCCTATAGCTTGGGTGAACACCATGGTGTTTGACTACAAAGGCCATTTAAAGACGGGAGACATCAACCTCCACTGCTGGTCTTCCTTTCCTGGTAATATAAGACGCACACATTAATGCCATTTCTGTCTAATACTTTAGAGTGCTTCTAATGAACAGAGGCGAACACTAGGAAGACGGCATATCTCTGTTTGACTAGATGAACTTGAAGAGATGCTGAACCCCATAGGAACCGTTCAGACCAACCCGTACACTGAGAACGCCACGGCTCTGTGCATTCACTTTCCAGAGTATTCCTCACACCCTGTTGTCTTCCCTCCCTTTGACAAAGTAAGGCAGTGATTGAGTTCATGTGTCTCTTATCTGTCTGTTTCATATGGTAAAGTTTGCCCTGCAAAATGCAGTTCTGTGCAAATGTTTCAGGTGGGAGAAAACATACTCTGTCAAATTCATTTGGGTTTTTCTTTTTTATTATAGAAATCATTTTTACAACATTTCTGAGCTGTTTATTAATTACTTAAAGAATTTAATATGAAAGGTGTTTTTTATGTTGACATGTTGAGTTTTTTTTGTTTGTTTCTGTGCATTTGTTTAAATATTTAAATGGGAAATATAATTTTAGTAACCTTAAATGAGATCTAAGTTCATTTTTAGTTATTGTCTAGCTTACTTTAAGAAATGACTAATGTTTTTTAATTTATTACTTACATTTTTTCTCTTTATTTGCTTATTAAAGATACTGGAAAAAGCTGCAGAGATTGTAGGAGCAAGTGACTGTTCACCAATGGTAAGCTGATGTCTGAGTGAGCAGAGGGTGCAGTATCGATATCCAGTCTTTTGTTGCCCTTTAATAAATCATAAGTAGTTTGAACTAAATTTATTTTATAAGCACTCATCCTGGTAATTATATTTACCTAAAACCTTTATTCTCCTTTACAAGGGGTTGTAACTGAGAAAAGGTTTATAAGATCTTTAATTCCAGAGTTTCCCTCTCACTGCTTGTATTTCTTTGTCTCCTCACGTCCTCTCTAGAAAATTGCAATGCTGGGTGTGTTTCTGCCTGTTATGTAATCCTAACATGTAGAGGACATGTACAAACACAGAGTTTTGAAGTAGTGAAAGGCTGCATTAAACTTCAAGGTAGAGGTATTTATTTACCACCAATCAGCATGTTCCCTAAGCTGCTGAAGGATACTGGTTTGTAGAGAAGGTTTGTTTGAGTCTCGCCAGGTTTACTAAACAATATCAATATTTCTACTTATTCATAATGCAGTACTTTTAGGAAAAGGAGTTGATACGCTTCTGCGACACTTGAGCTATACAATGATATATGCAAACAGGATAAACTCATCTTGTCTGACTCCTGTCTGTCTCTCCGTTGTCCTTCCTTTCGTTACCTCTCACAGGGTCGTGGTGGAAAGAAGTTCTACATCGAACTGAAGGAGATCATGGAGCGTGACCCTCTGTCTCAGCTATGTGAGAACGAGAAGGATTTGATATGGACACTACGCTGTGACTGTCGAGAGAATTTCCCACAGTCGCTGCCTAAGTTGCTGCTCTCTGTCAAGTGGAGCAAACATGAGGACATGGCCCAGGTCAGCTGTCTGTTTGTTTTGTACTTAAATGAAACAAAGTTAGGTCTGTCTGCTACTGAAAACCTTGAAAACTACTGTGCAGCCTAAGACAAATACATCCATCATGTTTGTTTCTCTACAGTATGGTGTATTTTGAATTTGCAGTTTTTATATATTTTTAAATTATAGTATTTAATGCAAATAGAGTTGCACCAAAATATTATTCTCACAACAAATAATTAGAAACAAACTGCAGTCATTCACAGGTTTCTTTTTTTCAGTTCAACAATTTTCAAACTAAAATGCTTGGTGCTTAGAATTGGGTAATAAATGGAAATGGGTCCCTGTGCGCTGAACTGTCTGACAAATAAAAGCTTGAGAAATAGATCTGTATCACAGAACAGGGAGAGAGGCAGGGGCACGGTGCTACTCTTTACTTATTTTATAGTCAGTTGTTTTTTTGTTGTTGTTTGGACAAAAAATATGCCTGCTTAGTTATGAGAAAAAATCATATGCACATTATAATAAAATAAAACTTCCTAAACCTCTCAAAAACAAACACATAAATAAAATGAATTGAATTTATACATATAAAATATAAAAATTAAAAAATAATATATATTACACAAATGCATTGCATCACATTAAAAAAAAAAAGAAAAAGAAAGTAGCAGTTATAGACTGAGGTCAAACTGAGGTCGCTTTTTGCTGCCACTCCCTTCCTCCTGTACACCAGAATGTGTGGTAAGGCACGAAGTTCTTGTGCATGAATCACTCGTGTTTGGCTCGATGATGGATGATTTTAGTGTTGGAATAGGTTTTGTTCCTCCCAATGACTTCGTTGTGACTCCCCCACGATTAACCATGTAGACCTGCTACAGACTGCTCATGGTGTAAGACCGGACAATTGCCGTCACCAGGAATCACTACACTTAATACTCCCATCATTACTCCCACTAATTGACTTGGTCATATATCACTCTGTCGTTATTGCAAGGGCCTCTATGAAATATTAAACAGTCATTGTAAGTGCATGTTGCATATCAACAGCAGCTTCCTGTTGGAAGCTAAATATTTAGGGAAATCAGCAGTAATCACCTCTAATGGGCTGTAAGACAACAAGCCTACATGTTTTTTGTGGTCAAAGTGTGTGATAAGGAATTTGAAGGGACCTTGAGCGTGTCCAAAGATGCACATGTTAGTGCTAGGTTTCACCAAAGTACTGTTGATGTGAATGTTAAAAGCTGAGCAGTCAGATATTGGTTCATCTATTACTCATTTGTATCTTGTCTTTGTACTTTTGCTTGTTCCTTTTAAATGTCTTCTAGTCAAAATGAAACCATATCCTCTTAATGTTTGACACATGATTAGGTCTGATTGAAGACAGACATTTGACATAAAATAAAGGTTAAAGAAATGCTGTTACCAATAGAGGACACAAATTGCAGTAAAATGTATAAAGTAGTTGACTGTGTGTTAATCAACTAATTAAAGAAAATATATCTTTATTTCAGCTCCAAGCCCTTCTACAGATTTGGCCCAAACTGAGTCCCAGAGATGCTCTGGAGCTCCTGGACTTTAACTACCCAGACCAGTATGTTAGAGAATATGCTGTGGGCTGTTTGCATGATATGAGGTAAACATGTCACAAACACACAGTTTACATGGTTCAAACTTTTTAGTCTGAAATATAAACATTTATTCTCCCCCACACACACACACACTCCCCCTCTCTTTCTCTCCACAGTGATGATGAGCTGTCCCAGTACCTGCTACAGTTAGTGCAGGTGTTGCGGTATGAACCATATTATGATTGTGCCCTCACCCATTTCCTGCTGCGGCGTGCCCACGGAAACCGCAAAATTGGACACTTTCTCTTCTGGCACTTACGGTGAGTACCAGTTCTCTCGTCTGGTAACTAATTCATTTGAAATGAAATGTAGCCAACAGTGGCAGTGTTTCATCCTGAGGTGTACGTTGTTTTGCACTGACCATCACAGGTCAGAGATCCACATGCCAGCGGTTTCGGTCCAGTTTGCACTAATCCTCGAGGCCTACTGCAGGGGCAGCGTTCCTCATATTGAAGTTCTAAAGAAACAGGTACGTGACAGCAAGTTTTTTTTTGTTTTTTTTTCATTTCTGATTGTACACAGTTTGTAGAGTTAATGTCACAATCAGTAGTTGGACTGTTACCTTCTTTAAGCCAGACGGGGAGTCTCATCTGTGGCCTCACACTTTAGTTATGGTTTGTAGAGCGAGATTTATGATGAGGTTTTTTTCCTACCACAAGCGCCGTGAGGTCACCCTCCTGCTCTTTGACCTTTAGATTTGACACATCATCCCGCCTTCTGATGTGAACGGTCTTAAACCAGCACCTTGCTGTTGCACTGTTTCAATGTCAACATAATCCTTTTAGGGAATGTTGCTGTTGCACTGTTTCAATGTCAACAATTTGTTCACAATTTAGTGGTTGCAATTGGTATATTTAATGCAGATGAACCTATCGTTCCTCTGCTAAAATAAAAGGTAATGTGTTCATTTCAGTAAAGTGTGAGCTGCAAGTTATGGTTTTTCTAATCTTTGATCTGGTCTTAAATTTAAGGAACTTATTTTACTGTAGTAACTCCTCTGATAGAAGACAACAAGACAAATCAGAAAAAGTACCTGTGAAATGCACGTACATTTATTACAGGTATTTATTTTGTGATTTGTCTCTATCAGTTTTTTAACACAAATCATATTTTGTCTTATAGGTGGATGCTCTGAGTAAACTAAAGTCTGTCAATGAGCTAATAAAGCACGGCAACACCAAAAATGCCCGGAGTAAGACCAAGGAAGCCATGTTGACAAAAGAAGCCATGATGGCCTGCCTGAAACAAAGTGGTTATTCAGAGACGCTGTCTGACCTGTGCTCTCCTCTTAACCCCAGCGTCATGCTGTCTGGCATCAAGTAAAATCACTCTGGCGTTTAAATGATATAAATGATAGAGAGAACCAATAATTACTCGTCTTTTAAACCTAATTGTTTTTGTCACGCTTCTGTTTTCCCGACAGTGTAGAGAAGTGTCGGTACATGGACTCTAAGATGAAGCCCCTGTGGATTGTTTACAACAACAAGCTGTTGATGGGAGACACTTTGGGAATCATCTTCAAGAACGGTGATGGTAAGGAAAATAAAGATGGTGAAAAAGCATTGAGAGAATCATTTTGTTAGAAACGTCTGCTGCGAGTGCACATCTTCTCTCTTTGAATGCTCTCCTGTGGTCAACCATCACTCTAGTTTGTCCTCTTTTCACTAAAGATCAGTCACGTCAGAAGGTTTCCTGTCAACTTCCCCGCCATCTTAGCAACTTTCTTAATCCTCTAAACTCCCTTCACCACTCATCATTTCTTAGTGTCCTCAATCTTATCACTGTCTTTCATTTACCAGACTTATACTAAACACTGTGTGCTGCTTTGCTTCACTCTTCATATTGTACTCCCTTGATCAGATTGCATTTCCTGCACGAGATATAATCCGAGGGTGTGCACTTCCACTTTTATATTTTACTGTGTTGTGTTGTTCCTCCCCTTTCCTAAAATATCTGATTTGCACAGGCATTTCCATCGTCTTTCGACGTCCATATTTCCTCCGTTAGCATTCCTAAAAATTGACGTTAAAGGTCGTTTTTGTGTCATGAATTTGTGCTCATTCAGTTTCTGTGACACAAAAAACATCAACCCAGAATTTCACAATCGATGTGTCCCTACAAGATAAACACCTTCGTACAGTCATCCTCTAACCTACTGCCTTTTACTTTTTGTGGTTTCCCTTCTAGCCTTTTTGAAGCAACCTTGGGTTTTTTTTTGAAAGGCGCTATATAAATCTTAGTTATTAATATTACAATTATCATTATTTATCCAAATGTTTGCTTTGACAGGGTTTACTCAAGATTATAAGTTATCATATCTTTTAAAAATATTGTGATATCATAGTAAATATTCTATTATAAAAATGTTTCTTTTGTGCTTAGACCTGAGACAAGACATGTTAACGCTACAGATTCTGAGGTTGATGGATCTGCTGTGGAAGGAGTCTAAGTTGGACTTCAGGTGAGTTCTGTTTTAGACGTGAACTATCTGCAGAGTAAGGTTCAAACATTCGCTGGCGTTTGCAGTTCACATAGAACAACTGCACCAGACCTTCCATACTCATTCTACAGCTCAGGATCAGCTTGGAACATTTCACAGAGATGGATGTTTTCATACCATTAACGAGTGATCATCATCACATTAACTGTCAAGCAGAGACGTCAGATGTTTTCTACACTCACTCTTTTGTTATGAATAAATGAACAAAACCAGATCCTATCAACATCACTTCTCAGAATGCATTCTGCTCCACAGCATCTTTATCATTCAAGATCTCATGTAGTAGTTGTGTGAATGCATTTTAATATATAGCCACTGTTTGTTGTGAAATAACTGTTTGTACCACTCTCTGTTCATATGCAGAATCGTGCCATACGGTTGTCTTGCAACTGGCGACAAAGCAGGGCTGATTGAGGTCGTTTCATCGGCGGACACCATTGCCAACATCCAGTTGACAAGCAGTAACATGGCGGCAGCTGCTGCCTTCAACAAGGACGCTTTGCTAAACTGGCTGAAAGAGAGGAACTCTGGGTAACTAAGAAGTCATCTCAGCTAGTCATATACTGAACCTGGACAGTGGGCTTCATTATTGGACAGGCAAACATTCACATTCACATTCAACCACCCACTCTTTCACTCTGTTACATATGTTGTACTAACAGCCTCATCAAGTTTCATTTGGAGTCCCTAGATTGCATCATAAATACAGCGTTCATGTTACTTTGATGTGCAAGTTAGTATCTGTAACAGCATCAAACCTCATGCTCAGTTCTTTTCTTCTGAGTGATAGAAAAAGTATTTTCTGTCGCAACACTGTACTAAAGCAGAAGGAAATGTGCTGGTTCTCTGGGAAATTGTTGTTAAGCAACATGTGAGAAAAAGAGACAGGAAGAGATGAGCAAACCTGAAATGTTTCTTTCTCCCACGTATTGGAGAGAGTGTTCACTATAGTTTGAACATCAGTCTCTCTTACATGGATAATGAACACATCTAAACATGGCTAGCTACTAGCTCTATGTCTGAGCTGGGTCTACGTGCTCAAACGACACAGAAATGTGCTGAGACTAACAGCGAGTCAGTGAGGATAAAATGGCATTCATGATATTTCATAATAACACAGATAAAGCTCCGTGTCCTCTATTACAACATCCAACATTCTTCCTTTTCTACTGCCTGGGAACGCCATCTGACATTCCACATTCCACTGAAAGTCTGCCTCCATATTTTCTACCTGTGTGTTATGTCCTGACAGTGATGCTCTTGAGCGTGCCATCGAGGAGTTCACTCTGTCCTGTGCAGGCTACTGTGTGGCCACCTACGTGCTGGGCATCGGAGACCGCCACAGTGACAACATCATGGTCCGCAGCACTGGACAGGTTGGACTGATTTACATTGTCTACCAATGTGGCAGGTTCTATATGTCTGGTATGTCTTCACAGTATGTTTGCTAACGTTCTCCCTCTTTGACTTCTGCCTCAGCTCTTTCACATTGACTTCGGTCACATCCTGGGCAACTTCAAGTCTAAGTTTGGCATCAAGAGGGAGCGTGTACCTTTCATACTTACACACGACTTCATTCACGTCATTCAGCAGGGCAAGACAGGGAACACAGAGAAGTTCGGCTGGTTGGTTTAATTTTTTTTTTTTTTTTCATTTTTTCATTCTTAAGATTCATGAAAAAGAATCACTGATTTACTTTTTTATAAGGGAGGAAACTCCAATCTCCCCTGTCTTGAAGGTTCTAATAGTCAGTGCTGATGTCCCGTATTCAGGAGGGGAAAACAGGGGAACAAAGAAAATTCGGGTTGTTTGGTTTATTTTTTTTTTTTTTTTTTTTCATTTTTTCATTCTTAAGACTCATGAAAAAGAATCACTGATTTACTTTTTTATAAGGGAGGAAACTCCAATCTCCCCTGTCTTGAAGGTTCTAATAGTCAGTGCTGATGTCCATCCTCTGGTGGGGTCATTGTCCTGCTACGGGTGGGCAGCCTCAGGTTGTTGGTCACACGATGACTGTGTTGTCACAGGAATCGAAGGCCGACCTTGTTTGTTTTTTAAGGGGACAGAGGAGGAGTGTGATGGAGTTGCAGATTTCTGGTCTACCTCCTTTAGATGCAGATCCAGCAGAGTCCTGATCTGAGGCTCTGTTAGCTTTGAGGGAGTGTTTTGTTTCTTTAGCAGATCTCACTCCATGCTTCTCTGCATCGAAAGGTGGAAAAACAAACTGCCTTCTTGTTTGTTTGCTTAGTTTTCTAAATACCCACACCAGCAGTGGTTGACAGTAAGGGGAATTTAACTTCTCTCTCTTAAATGTCATTAAATAATTATAAATATATGTTTTTTAATTCACATCACATTTACAATGAAAGTGCTAAGTAATATATATATATATATATATTGAAGCATTTTGGGAGCAATATATTAAACACGATTATTTTTTCAAATTGACAAAATATATTAAAAATGACTATAACTTGATCTCTATAGTACGTGGTATTAAGTAACAAGTTTGACAGGATGGGAAAAAATAGTTTTCTGGAGATTAAGGTGTAGTTTTGCTACAAACCATTGTGCAAGGAATGGAGATCAGAATTCATATTTAATCAATATTCAGTAACTGGTCATAAAAGCTTGTTCTTCAGACCGTCACTGCCACTGCTCCAGACATTTACTTGTCACAATGTTGCTGTTATGATTGGTCCTGCTTTTTTTCTCACCCTTTTCACCCTTTTCTCATGGTGCATTTTAAACTGTGTTACAACTGGATAATTGAATGAAAGGACAAAATGGGTCGATGGCTCTGTTTCCTACTTCATTAAATTTCCACTCAATGTGCCGGGCACTTTGCTCAATAAGAACATCTATTTTAGAGTTAATTTCTGTGAATTTCATTACTTACAATTTCCACAGCAATAGCATCAATTATGAGAAATGACCCTGTTCTTTAGAGCAAATACACACTATCCTGAAATATATCTGTTAAATTATATATATTCTAGTCAGGTTGACACTGTGTGGTATATATGTCAAAAATAATCGGTTTGTTTTTTTTGTGTGTGTTTCTCATAGCTTTCGTCGGTATTGTGAGGAGGCCTATTTAATCCTGAGAAATCATGGGAATCTCTTCATCACTCTTTTTGCCCTCATGTTGACAGCTGGGCTGCCTGAACTCACCTCAGTCAAGGACATCCAGTACCTGAAGGTGTGAGACACATAGAAACCCTGACTTTATACAAAGCTGACAATCAGATGGGAAGACATCCATGTTTCTTAAGTAATTCTTCTACTCCCTCTTCTCCCTCTTCTCCTGCCAGGATTCCTTAGCTCTTGGTAAAACAGATGATGAGGCCTTGAAGCAGTTTCGGCAGAAGTTTGACGAGGCCCTGAGAGAGAGCTGGACTACCAAAGTTAACTGGATGGCCCACAATGTAGCCAAAGACAACCGGTCGTAAAACACTGAACTTCTGGTCTGGCCCAAGTACAGAAATCCATGGGATACAGAGACGCAGTCCGTGAAGCGGGAGATGAAAGGTGAGCATGGGCTGCTGCCACCTCTATTCAAAGAAGGGAACCTGGCAGCACATCCCACTCATGAGCAATCAACCCAGTGACCGTGGAGCCTGACTTACTCTATGAGTACCTTTACCATTTACTTTGCACCACACTGGCAAGCAGCGCCACTGGAGAAGTCCAACACTGATGGTCTCGTGACATTTTTGTGAAACCATGGTGAGTAATGTCATTGCAAATTTTGCACAGGCTTATGCGTGACTAGAGCAGGGCTAAAGTAAAGTAAAGTAATGCAGAGCAGCCACGGCGTCTCTGCAGGAGCTAATAAAGTACACATCACGTACGAGTGGTGCCGACATTAAACTCTATCTGCACTGGCACATGGTTTGTTTGATAACCTGAACTGTTGCTGCTGCAGCGCTATTAACAGATGGGTGCAAGTGCAGGGAACAATGCAAGTAACAACAAATACTCTATGTTATAAAAGTAGAATGGAACGTTAACCCAGACAACGTGTAACATGGATGTCTCGCTGCCTCAAAGTGTGCCTTACTGCTGTAAGAAGATTGTAATTGTTGTGTTTCATTTGCCCTTATTGAATGTACCATTAGCCTTCCTCATGCCAGACTACTCTCCACTGGACCAAACGGTTTACAAATGTGGGATCTTTCTTTTAGAAATATTTGTCAAACAACAATATAAATCGGTAAGCAATATTTCTTTTTCAAGACAAACAAACCTTCATTGAATTGAAGTGTTGGGTCATTACCAACAACATGTCGTCATCCCCAAAATAATACACCCTCAGGTGTCACTAGAATGAAAGCCAGAAGTGTGTCATCCTGTTGAAGTGTTTGATCGATATTTTCACTGAGAAATAGATATTGTGTTGAACACATCAGGACCAAAATAGAAATGAAATCAACTTGGTCTCCTTTTCTAAGCTGACAGGTGTGAACGGCTGGTCGTTCTCCAAGAAAGGATGTCACACTGTAAGCTATAAACTACAATTTCACTTACACTTTCCAAATTCATAGATGAAAGACTTCCAGTTTTATGTTACACATAGTTTAGAAACAGCAGACCTTGTGTGGTTGCATCACTTCTGGTCCATCGACACCATGAACGTGTACCGTATCCAACAATGTTCAAACTATTGGACAGATTGACAGATATCTGCAGTGATGAGGGAAAAACGGACGAACAAGTTTAAAGCGTTGTGTCTGGAGAGAAGGAGGCAAAAGGTGACTTTTTTTTTTTTAAATGACAAATAAGGACAGACCTGGAATCACACTGTGCACATGGTTTTTATGAAATCTACGTATTCCACATAGATGACTCGTATGGAGAAGATATAAATGTGTATACGTATCTGCTGAGGGGTTCCCGCTTCTTTGGAATGGGTCACACATAAGCACAAAAATAATAAAGATGAGATTTTACACTAGATGAGTTAATGCTGTTCATTAACCGGAGAAGCGATACCTGAAATGTGCTCAAGAAATTTGTACTGCATTGAGCTGCGTTGCGGTTTTACCCTTAATTTCATTTTCAATTATTCGTGAACTGTTTGTCAAAATCTTGAATCTTTTTAAAGTGTACTTTTTGTCCATTTTTGCCATACAAATGGCTTGAGCTGACTAACAGGTGTTGACCACTGTGTAGATGTCTTAATCGACTACTGAGTTCATTTTTGTAATGTAAGACATTGCCTTAAATATTGCTCCTGTACATTGCTGAAAAGCCTTTGGTGTTCCCACATTAATGACAGTATCCATGTCCATCACGTTGTAGCTATTTATGTCCCTTTTAATTGGTAACAATCTGATTATTCTTTACATCATGTCAGATGTGGAGTAGTCTTCAACAACTGACACCTGCACTTGGATGACCACACCCTGAGGTCCAGCTCACTGCACGACTTCTTGTGTGTTTTTTATGCAGTGGCAGTCGTTTCATAAAGGTTCAAGTGAATTACCAAAATAAGAGTTTGTTTTTATTGCGTTTTTAGAATGTGTATCAACTTTACCTCATGCGGGGTCCTGAACATACAATGTTTTATTTTGGTGCAATATTGGAGTATATAAACCTTATCTTATTATGATAATAAATGTCCAATGCCTGAGCCTAAACTGTGTTTCAACTTGGTTTCTGTTCAATTCAACAGCATTCTTAAAATGTCTCAGATTCTGAACTGCATTTGATGTTTTGTGAGTGACATAGTTACAGTATGTGAGTTCTGACCTATAACAAAACTCGAGTTACGTCATTCCGTAGGAATGGAATTCCAATGTAAGCCGAGAACTCTGATGACTGCAGCGAAACAGCCATCCCACCTTCACACCCATTCTCTGCCTCTGCTAATGTTGCACTAGCCTTTCCCATATTAAACCTCGGAATACTTGGAAGCTAACATCTGCGTTGTTCTGCGCTCCTCTTTTAATCCTCTACCTACACAGCAATTCTTTATGTTCTTATTACCTCCACCAAGATTTCCACCAGACTCTACTACTGTATCTCCCCTCTGCGATGACCTTCTGCCACCTCATCAAAATGTTGGTCATCATTAAATCATGAAATGTTTTCTTTCTAAATAATTCCAAACCCATTCCTCATTCTATTTACAGTGTTGGAAACGTTCAGAACCACGTTCTGAGCTCCAGCCCTGGCTTCCTCTCCGTGTGGTTTTCTGAAAGCACAATAGGTCAACCTTCCTTCCTCTCTGTCAGGCCAACCACATCTGCAACTTTGCTAATTATGGTTTTTACATTTAATGGCACTTATGTTTTGCATTTTACGTAACCTGAAAATAACCCCATAAATTAAAATGTTATAATACAGTTCACTTTTCTCTTTTTTTCTTTTTTCTGAATAATAAAAATGCTTTCACTCATGTGAACTCTTGGCCTTAATCAGCAATAAGAGATAAGACAAGTAAACAAAAGAAAGAAACATGTAGAAGGAAAAGGAAACAGCAGGGAAAAGTAGGAGGTAAAACACAAAACAGGGGGGGAACCACTCCAAGCTGTTACACACATACTCCATGTACTCCCACACTGCAGCACTAGAGCTGATTATAAACCAACTGTTGTACAGGAGAAGAAGAACGGGTGGAGTATCTTAAAATTAACCTAGTTTTGTTGTTTTGTTTTCAAAGCTCTGTTTTATACAGAAACTGATTCACTATAAACCACAGGGAAGTCAGAAAAATAGTTTTTGTTTACTATCTAATGCAGCGGGGAAACAGTGCCCTCTGCTGGTGAATTAAAACAACTCTTAAAACTAACATGGACCAACAGAGTCTGTTCGCCTGCTGTGGTCAGGACTTAGGCACACATGGATGGATAATAGAACAGTTCAGCTCACTTTGTCTGAGGGTTCATTAAACACAGAGACGCTTTTTGAATAATGTATTGCTGTATTCATGATGAATTCCATTTCATCGTGGAGGACATTCACATTGTCTTTGACAGTTTCACAACCAGTGGCTTGCTTTTGGACTCCCACTGTCCACTGGGACGTGAGATGGGAGTGATCGATATGGAGTAATACAATATCCTCAAGGAAGAATCAATAATATTTATGGATCCCCTTTGAAGAAAGCCTTATTAATAGCTCAGTGGGAGTCATGGGCTTCATGTGTCTGGTAAAGTATTGTATTACAGTTATGTAGAGCAGACAAACAAGCATATCATTTCAGTGTAAAGACTGTGTAAGTTAGTGTTCAAGAAATATTTTCCCTAATTAAAACCTCTGTGCTTTCATATATTTAATCCTTCCAAACGGGTTATGATCAAGCCCCCTCACAAATCCTGTTTAAGAGAGGTTGGTGTTAGCCAGTTTGCCACAGCTTGGATCTCAGCTGGACCTCAGTCCAGAAACTGACTGATGATACATGAAAGTTGGATTTCTCAGCGTTGACTAAAAGTTTATTTTCTAATAGGCAGCATAAGCCTAAAGCCAATAAGAGGGCTCCAGGTGATGCCTTTCATAAAGCCCAGCTTGAGGAACTGGTGTTGCATCGATGAAGCTGTCATCAGCCCCTGAGTCCACTACAGTTATACAGTATTGTCATTGTCACAATAAAGAGAAGCATTAAAATGCATATGTGTAAAAGGCTATGAGGGACGAATAGAAAGGGTGACTCACCAGGACCCCTCCCATTACTGGTGAAGACAGGAGACAAGGAAGTGGATATAAAGATATTTGTTTCGTATAGTAATAACACATTGGTTAAACTAGCGGAATAATGTATTAGTGAAACAGTAATATTTGACCTTCACGAAGAGCCATTTTTATCGTAATGTTTATCGTGTCTGACCGTTTCTCTCCAGTGAAAGTTTGTTATTTTTCTATACTTTATATAATTTCTTCCTTCTTCTTCACTTCCACCTTCCCGTTTAGATAACATGGTGTTCCACGTGCAGCCGAAACGTTGTTTATATAAAACGACGGACAGGGCTCTGGACCAATAAGCTATAGCGATGGTAATTCCGTCACGATTTCTATGGAAACCAGAGATTCTAGCCAATGAATGGACGTCAGAGGTGGAGTCTAAATTCATGTCGCATGACGAGCTCGCTGATTGGCTGAGCTACCAGAGCCTGTGAAAGCCGGCATAGAGCGAACGGGTAGTGTGTCAACCCGTATTCCACTGAGGTACGCTGATGCTTTGAGTGTGTCGTTTTTCCTCACGGCTGCTTTTTATTCTATTGACACTGAGGAAAAACAGAATGCAGTCTTCTGGATAGAACAGGTTGGTCCTTTTCTTTTTTCCTGCCTCGTTATACCATAAGAATGTCGTTTTTAAAAAAAAAATAAGTTGCATAACTGTATGCGAAGTGCGCATGCGTAAGAATCCTGACGCTCTACTTATTGTACTTATACAACAAAGATTCCTATTTACTCCCTTTTTTACACTGCTCAAAATAAGGGAAAGTGTGTCCACAGCCGAGTACCTACTCGTCGGGCAGCACACATGTCTTTTATTGCGTGTTCTCAGTAATACGGTCACTTTTACATAACTGTGTCAGTGTACCGTGCTGAGGATTGCAGGTCAACGTGTGTGTTGATTTTAAATAGCAGGTCAATGGGCGCTAGTTGGGGGAAGGGATGTTTATGTCATTGCCATAAATGTGTTTATTAGGTGAAGTAATTGATGTGACGCAAAGAGCATGTCTATTTCGATGTACTGTAGACATTAACGTGATATAAAAACATGTTTTACATTTGTTCTATAAAGAACATTATGGCTTTAATCTGCTGTAGCAGAAAGGCCTACCCTGAGTACACTCATACAGGTGTGCTGTAGTGTACCTGTAGACGTCAGGTCGACATGATGGTCACATTCATTCAGTGTTGTCAACATCGTTGTGTAATTACAATGATCCAGTACTACAGTGAAGAAATGAAGTGATGTAAACCATTATGGTCCTATTAAGGTCACAAACACTTCAATGAATACCAGAAAGACCAAATTCTTGAATCCTAAAACGTCAACAACAAACAATACTTTGTGTTAAAGTAAAAAATAAAGTTACTGTTATTGTATCGTGACTTGTCAGTTAACCTGCAGAAAGTGAAGTGTAATTCATTACAGCTGAGTCATATAGTTTATACACAAATGTAATATGAACATATGGAAATATCAAATGTACATACATGTATATAACACACCATGTTCTTCTACCTTAGAACTGTTTTATACCTTTGTTTTGATCACCTTTACTGTTTAGATTGATCACCTGATAGACCTTCATCCTCTGCAGTCCTTATGTAACGTGTCTCAGGTTTCATTTAAAGATTCTTCAGATGACACTGAATTGGAAGTGAATGATTTTTTTACAGCAGGGCTGTTGATGATGTGCTGTAGTTCTGTCCATGTGACTAGCAGCAGTTGTATAAGGCCTGAGGCCTGTGTTAGTGTGTTGGCTGATGTGTGCATGTAGCCATCAGTAAAAGTCATTTTAAGTACGGTATGCTGAGGGAAAAGGTCGTGGTAAGCCTGTAGAAGCTCATCTATTGGTTATACTCATAACTAAGAGCCAATACGTGTGTTGTTTGGAGCCTTAACAGTTAAAGATTGTGTTAGTTGTCAATAATTATTATAACATCTTCTATAGGTTCTAGTCTCAAAACCTGTTTTGTCTTTGTGCAGTAGAGTTACGTGGATTTGTATATTGCAGTAGTTCTTCTATGTTGACCTAGTTTAAAAATATTGTTAAAAAACATTTAACATTTATTAATTGCAAATTAAGCTGTTAAACCTCAATGTAGACTTATTCTATAAAACATGTACATTTAGATTTCATTTCCCCTTTGTGTGTTGTTTTATATTGCAAAGACAGTTATGTATTTTGATAAATGCAAACAGCCTTCTAGTGATCTGCATATTTTTCCTCATTAACTTATATATCAGATGACCTGTCATCATTTGCTTGCGTCCTTTTTTCTTGTGGGAGGATAGGTTTGTCTGGGTTTAATATACAGTGTTTGTCTCGGTTCTTTTTGCTGGCCACCTAGCAACATTGCATTTCAATTTGCAACTTGAATATAAGAAGGCTATAGTTGCACATGGTAAAATTCTAGCCAATCTTGCAGAAGTTCTGGGTTTGATTCCACCTGGTTGACATTCCCATGTCGTGTTGTTACATGTAACAATATATGTTTATGCACAAAAATAAAATAAGACATATATCTGCTCTACTCCCCACCACCAGTTAGAACTGAAGAAGCCTCTTGGATGAGAGGTGAAACGTCTTCTTTTAAAAATTCACATCCAGTTGCCTAACAGAACTTTCAAACTTGACCATGACCTGGATGACTGAGAATCTTCATAGACATAAGACAGTATTCTTTCATTGTTATAAGCCACACTGTACATAATCATGTTACAAAATGATATTGTAACCTAATCTGACACATCCTGCCAAACGTCCCCAGGCAAACCAGGCCATAGTTTCTGTCACGTAGCATTACTGGAGCTGTTTCAAGTTGTGCATTTGTTCAGTTTGGTAGGACGTGTGGTAGATGAAAAGAGTTGTTGTCAGTCAGATGACAAAGTCGAGATGCCCAGAAACATGCCATGAATGCTCAAGAAAATAACCCTTTGCCCCTGAATATGATGAAGAGCACTTTGTGGCTCTGAACCATGTCAGAATAATTTATTTTTCTTCTATTTTTTCTCTACAGATACATCATTTTTGAATTGTATTTATTTATAATATGTACGTCATGGCGTCCCCATGTGGCAGATAACTAGCAACCTCCTGCCTTTTGGCCCAACATTGCTTCAAAACACTACATCTACCCGAGTCTGCGCAGTCCTCAGCTGACGCCGGGAAGAATCCACATTCACGTGGAGAAGTCTCTCCAGGGTCCATCTTTGTGCAGGTGCATTAGCCAACGTTGCCAGATGGACAGCGGTTACAGTAAAGGTCGTGGGGGTCAAGATGTGGTGGATCTGGAGCCAGAGTTGGGATTGGCCTCCGAGGGAAGTGATAGCAGTCACGAACGCCCACCGTCTCCAAGCTCCTCCCTCGATGACAGGAAGCGACCACGCCAAGCTTTGCAAGAAGATGTAGAGATGGGCGGTAGTGGCTCAAGTGGTAGTGGAACAGAATCCCACAGCAACGAGTCACACGGCAACGAGTCCCACGGCCATGAATCCGTGGGCAGCTCCAACGGGAATGGCAAAGATTCTGCCATTCTGGAGTCTTCTGGCAGCAATAAAAGGTGAGGATGATGGTTGTATATGTTTGAGGAAATCCACGAGTTTCAATTATTCTAGTAGTGACATGTTATTTTCTGACTCCAGCTCAAACTCCCATAGTCCCTCACCACCAAGCAGCTCCAATGCCTTCAGTCTGGTGAGCTCCGAGCAGGACAACCCATCGACCAGTGGCTGCAGGTTGGTAAAACTATTGCATTAAAAATGTTAAAAACACGGCACACAACCTTTAAATCACCAAAGAAGAATGTTTTTAACATATCAAAAATTATGACGTTGTGGAATTTTTTAATGAAGACTTTTTCGAGTGTTGTTTTTCTCTTGACCTCGTTCGTAGGACTTCAGGACTGCGCCAAAATATTTAGAAATGTTTTTACACCCTTGTCACTCACTAATGTTTGATAAATGAATGCCCCGTCTCTGTGTGCTAGACGCCATCCTACAGTGACTGTGTTTCTTTTATGCCCTGCAGCAGCGAACAGTCTGCCAAAGCAAAGAATCAGAAGGAGCTTTTCAAGACCCTGAAGGAGCTAAAGAGGCACTTGCCATCCGAGAAGTGGAGCAAGAGCAAGTCCAGCACCGTCAACACCCTCAAGTATGCGCTGCGCTGTGTCAAACAGGTTAAAGGTAAGGGACTTCTTCTGTTGGCTTCTTTTGCAAACACGTCATCACATGTCGCCTCATCAGTAATAATATACTGAATATCACTAGTGACAGTGATGACATAAAAACTTCCAAAGTTCAAAAATAAGCTAACAGTAAATTGATTTAATTGGTTTTTATTCATTTTAAGTTTTTTTGTTTGTTTGTTTTTTTTAGCTCTACAACATACTTAATTCTTATTTCTTTGTTTTTGCAGCAAATGAAGAATATTACCAGATGCTGATGATCAATGACAGTCAGCCTCCAGGTTTTGAAGTATCATCCTACACAATCGAGGAAATCAACCGCATCACGTCTGAGTACACTCTCAAGAACACGGTAAGTTCTCACTTAGTTCCAACCTTTTAGCTTTTACTGCTCTATCAGGAAACTTTAAAATCTCCAGCTTTTGGACTTGAACAAAAAATGTCTGTTTTTTTTGTTAAATCTGTCCAATGAATTTTGTGATGCCTCCTTTTTTCAAATTGACTTTCTATTGACATTAAAAACACAACCAATAGTGTAATGACATTTTTACTCACATTCTGATGGTGTCAGTCTGAGGCGGTTGTTATTATATCAACTGAATATTTGAAATGATAAAGAATAAAGTACTTTTTCTTCTTGATGTACTTGATCTTCAAACTGATTTGACTCTGACCTGAGGTTTTAAAAATGCTGTTGCTTATAGTATAAATGTGCTTTATTTCATAACCTTCAGTGATGATATACTCTTTGTTCATGACATCTGAATAATCAGTTTTACTTCTCACCTTCAGGATATATTTGCCGTCGCCGTCTCGCTCATCACGGGGAAGATCGTTTACATCTCAGAGCAGGCGGCGTCCATCTTGAACTGTAAGCCTGAAGTGTTCAGAAACGCAAAGTTTGTGGAGTTTCTCACTCCACAGGATGTCAGCGTCTTCTACAGCTTCACCACACCCTACAGGCTTCCCTCCTGGAGCATGTGCACTGGAGCAGGTAAGGTTCTTCACCACAAGACTCACAGAATAACTGAAAATGTTCCATGCTTTTAGATCTAGATTTAGTAAATATCCATCACTGTCACTTTTTCAGAGTCATCTCCCACAGAATGCATGCAAGAGAAGTCTTTCTTTTGTCGCATCAGGTTAGTAACGGCAGCATTTCATTTTGGATCTTTAACGACGTCCTTTTTCTTCTCTTCCCCTCAAGTTATTGTATTTGTCTGAGATTTCGGCCCAAATACCAAAGATGAGAAAATGAGACCAGTGTAGATTGATTTCTTCTGTGGGGTGACTTCATTTTTATATATTTATATTTATGGAGGTTGGTGATTCAGACGTGAGTGTGTAACAGAGAACTCCTCGAGGAGCATGCCTTAACATCAGCAACACACCAACTAACCTGTCTGTTATTGGTTTTTCTTTATTGAAATAACAATAAAGTAATGTAAATGTTTCTTGACCCACAAATTTAATGGGAATTAAAAAAAGTAACTGTTGAAATAGCAGATATCATAAATATATAGTAAATATATAGTAAATATATAGGCAGATGCCAGTATTTACGTTGTCTCTAAGTGCATGATAAACATGCCTCCCTTGATCTTTGCCAACCAAGTAAGGCCCACGGACCAGTTGTTGAACATCTTTAGTCTTGCCAGTATGTGTGAACTAAAAACAAAATAGTATATTTAACTGTGTGTTGTAAAAATATGTGCATACTCTCTGTACTTCAGTGGTGGAAAGCAGCATGAAGGGGATCTGCAGTACTATCCTTTCCGTATGACTCCTTACCTGATGAAGTTACAGGATTCTGAGCTGTCAGAAGAACACATCTGCTGCCTCCTGTTGGCTGAACGGGTGCATTCTGGATATGAAGGTGACTTCCTCAGCATTGAATGTTGTTTGCTCATTATTATATGGATTTTGACAGCTCATAATTTTGCATATTACCATTCAATGTTAGAAAATGTTTTCAACAACGTCTTCTTCATTTCAACTGTTAAAATAAGATCCTCGTCCTTGGATTTCTTCTATTTGATGTCATGATTGCAGATTCCTTCACTCCCTCACCCATTTCATTTGTTCTGTCATTGCAGCACCTAGAATCCCAACTGACAAACGTATCTTTACCACCACACACACCCCCAACTGTGTGTTCCAGGATGTGGATGAGAGGTCAGTGCACTGCAGTTTTTGGGTTGCTTCTTCTGCTTACCTTTCACCTCATTTACCTTTTGTTGTAATCCCTTCTTCCCCCAGGGCTGTTCCTTTGTTAGGTTACCTCCCCCAGGATCTGATTGGGACGCCTGTCTTACTAAATCTACATCCAAGTGACCGACCATTGATGCTAGCTGTGCATCGAAAAAGTACACATTAGTTTCATTAACTCTTTTTCCAGTTAATTTTATCAAGTGTGTGTTAGAATATGACCATATGTGGCATTAACCTGAACAGTTAGGTTGACTGCAGCACTCTCTGTCCCAGTTTTACAGTTCGCTGGTCAGCCCTTTGACCACTCCTCAATTCGTTTCTGTGCACGCAATGGTGAGTACGTAACCATCGACACCAGTTGGTCCAGCTTTGTCAACCCCTGGAGTCGCAAAGTTTCCTTCGTCATTGGCAGGCACAAGGTCCGCATGTGAGTATGCCTGAAATATTCTTTTTATATTCTACGTCAGTAGCAGCATCTTTGGATATACATTGTTGTTTTTGACAGGTCACGTGACAGTTTTGTTTGTTTTCCAGGGGTCCTGTGAACGAAGATGTTTTTGCAGCACCCACATTCCATGGAGGAAAGATGATGGATTCAGACATCCAGGAAATAAGTGAACAGATCCACCGGATGCTACTCCAGGTACACAACTGAGACGCACATACTGATACATACTGTACTCCAGGTACACAACTGAGACGCACAAAATACTAACATACTGATTACAGCTGGTCAGTCCCATTGATTAACTATCTTTTCTCTCTTTAGCCTGTTCATAACATGGGCTCCAGTGGTTATGGGAGCCATGGGAGCAATGGTTCCCATGAGCAGCTGGTGAGCATGAGTTCATCCAGTGAGAGCAACGGCAACGTAATGTCGGGAATCACAGCAGAGGACATGGGAAAGTTAAAGCTCCCGAGGACTTTTCAGGAGATCTGTAAGGACATCCACATGCAGAAAAACCAGGAGTCCCAGGTTTGTCTGCAGTCGTTGTCATCCTCGGCTCTGCCACCCAAGCCTGAGCAAAGAAAGAGCACGGACAGTGAGTCTACATTCATATCCTCAGATTTATATCAGCTTATTTCTCTGGTCACTCTGACCTCAGGTTGTTTGTTTACAGTAAACCAACCTCTGTATTTCTTCTCGTCTCATTATCAATCTTCAGCATCAGCCCAGAAGAGTCCAACAGCACGTTTGAAGCACTCTGCCCCGCCTCTGTTGGCCAGAGATGGTACTGCAACTACAACAGAGGACATCTCCTGCAAAGATCAGAACACATGCTCTTATCAACAGATTAGCTGCCTGGACAGTGTTATCAGGTAAGACAGCTTCATTACATGTTTATCAAAGCTGTTGTGTGATTGAC